TACAGATTTGGGCAATTTCCCATAAAACATTGAATTTCCGTATTCTCTGGAAAAATGAGAATAATAGCCATCCAACACACACCCGTGGTTACTCTGTGAGTAACTAAGTGTCTGGTGCGGCCCCATTTGACAGAGTGGGTACTTTTCTTCTTCCTTAGAGCACCCCCTCCTCTCGCTGATGTCCCCTGCCTGGTGACTGGGAATTTGCACATGCTTGGGGATGTCCTGAGGGAGATGGCGAGTCTCCTAGAGTGTAATAGTTTTTCAGTGAGCCAGACTGTTGCTTCAGTAGATCCCATCCTCCATCAGTGACTGAGCTTCAGTGTGTGTTCGGCAGTAGACTGAATATCTAGCCTTATCCCCAAATAATTTAGTTATATGAGGCATAAGTAAGGAAATGCTGCTATTAAACGATTCAAAGTTTGCTGTGTGGATAATGGAATTATTAAAGATCCGTACACTGTGGATTCTGCCCTTCCATCCTCCGTCTTACAAAAGTATTGACTAAGCTAATTGAAAAATTCTTGCCGTGTCCTACCAAGTCTTAATGAAAAAGCATGCCAGGGGAGTTTCTAGATGCCACTGTGAAAAAGGTGCACAAACTGTAATTACCTTTGTTTGTTCTGTCCTGTTTTAAAGCAACTGCCTTTCTCTCATACATCCAAGTGAAGTAACAGCCCTCGCTGGATAACCATGGAGTCTAGTCTCCCCCAATGAAAGAGCTGTGTCTGGCGCAGGGATGGCTCAGCTCACTAGTGGAGTCCAGCCGCGCACAGGGGAGTCAGAGGCACGGGCTGGTGCCTGAGTTAACAGGCATACAGTTATCTAGGACCTTATCCAATTTTGTGAGATTTCTGTCGCTGCTTAATTTGATGCATGTTAAAACACTAGTTGCTTCTGTGCGGTTTCATGCATACACAGGGTTCCCTGAGGAAAACAAACATGGGTTTATTTCTTTGAGAATTTGAGAGAAGTGCAAGTCGAATCTTCCGATATTTCAAGCAGGTTCTAATTTTACTTGGCAACAAGCAAGGTACTTGAGCGACGTGTGTAGAGTTGTGGGAGTCGAGGAGACTCTCTGGTACCTTCCTGTTGATTCCTCAGTAGGAAGGGGCTTGTTTGCTTGATGGTAGATTAATGTGACAGTGTCTGGTAGGACTTTGTCTCAATAACTTGCTCCAGGAAAGAAAACTGTTCTTTCTCCTGAATTCCACAAATAGCAACTGAAGCTCAGAGGAAATTAGGCCCTGCTGTCCCATTTACATTCTGTGGCTAGCTCTCCTGTTCATCTGGTCACTCCACCTGCAAAAGGAATTCATCTCTCCTTCCATTTTTCTCTCAGGTTCCAGAATCTTTTTGGAACCCAAGCCACCCTTGAAAATATTTTCCTAGACCAGAATACAACTTCCCACATTCTGGAATACAGCTTTTTCTTTTTTGTCACTGATGGGCTAGTGTTCATCCATTTTTCAGAATTTCAAAGAATGTGATCAGTTTCCCAACTAATACTTAGAAAGATTTCTGTTTTGCATTTTTATGTCAGAATATTTGATGTCAGTATTGTGGTTATGTGTGTGGTGCCCATCCATGTTCATGTGTGTGCATGTATGTATGTGGGGGCATGTGTGAAGGCCAGAGGTTGCTATTGGGAGTGTTCCTCAGTCCACTCTCCTTCTGTTTTTGAGACCGGGCATCTCTCACTGAACCTGGAGCTCACCAGTGCAGAGCCCTGGGATCTCGCTGTCCCCGGCTCCCTAGCTCTGGGATTATAAGCAGACCCAGCTGTGTCTGGCTTCTGTATGGTTGCTGGAATCCAGACTCGGGTCCTATGACAAGCATGTTACTTTACTGAGTTGTCTCCAAAGCCACTCGGGGCTATTTGTGTTTTTGTTTTTTAAATATTTGCTCTGTAGGGATTAACTGTATTGTCCTTTATATTATGAAAATGCATTCTTCAGTGATCTAACTTAACTTTTTTGTTTTGTTTTGGGGGTGTGTGTGTGCATGTGTGTTATGTATACGTTTGTGTGCACATGCACGGAGGCCAGATGAAGGTATCGGGTACCCTTTTCTATCACTCTCTGCCTGTTCCTTTGAGGTGGGGTCTCTGCTGATGCCAAAGCTCCCGTTTGCATCCAGCAAGCCCCAGTGATCCTCCTCTTCCCACCCACTTTAGTGCTGGGGTGCACAGGATACATGCTGTTTATGTGGGTGCTAGGGTTTGAACCCAGTCCACATGTATGGGCTCTGTGCAGTAGCAGCACTATCTTAAGAGGGCTAGAGAGTTATTTTTAGTATTTATACCTAAGACCATTGCCTCTAAATCCTAACCACTGAGTAACTGAACTTTTTATGTACTTGATGCCTTTTTCCTCCTCAGAAAAGTAATACTTTTGAAATTGGTAATAGCCAGTTTGATTTTCTACACAAAAAAATTTATCTGTGAGCATTCTTACTATTTCCTTCCTTTGCCTGTTTTCATTTTCACAGATATTAGCAAACCTTGACTGGGTGTCTAGTTTATTTTATTATTGATTCCTATTTTTCTTTTCATCTAAAAGTATTATTTGTCCATCTAGCTCTTACATCTAAATTATTAGATCCTGTATTTTCAGCCTACTAGTCAATAGGCATAGCTCACCTGAAGGGCAGCCGTAGCAGCTCCTTGGCAGACCAGGAGGACTCTGACGTCCAGAGGGGCGCATCTATACAAGCTGGTCTGGGATTGGGGGAAAGTGCAGAGAAAACTGATGCTGATGTTATTCTACTGGAATGAAGGGCTGGTGCAGTGTAAATACTTTTTACAGCTACAGCCAAGCATGGACCTGAGTTTCTTTTCTAAGAAGGAAAAAAATCTGAAACAAACCAATGAGTAAATTGTGTTTATAAAGGGGGATGTTTAAATTAGTTTAGCCTGCACAGTTACTCAAACAGTCTGGTCTTACGTTTTTTGGAGCAAACATAAAAACCATTATTTATGGAAAGTTTAAATTTCACATAACACATGCTCACTAGGTGTGTGGAGCTCTTTTTCTTTTTTTAACTATTCACTTTATTGTGTGTTTTTAATTTAGCCTTCACTTTGCTAAAGATACTGTATGTTCTTGGGAAGAGAGGTGCTTTGGGGAGGGGAGGGGAGACTTGAACTAACAACAAAAGAGAAAAAAAGGAGTGTCTAGTGATTCCACAGAAATATTTCCATGCTTTTAAAACTGGTTTCTTTTCCTTGTGTATCTTTTATTGGTAGATGTGGTCTTTCCAGAGCATACGTGAGTCCTGATGTTCCTTCTTACTAGTCCGTCTGTCTCTTGATGGTCCAGCTCCTCCGCCTTGTCTTCAAGCTCAGACATTCTGTCCCCTCCTTGAGCCAGTATGCTACTGAGACTTTCTGGGGAGCTTTTTACTCAACTGTTCTGTTTCCAACATCTGAGACTGGGGTTTTTCTCCAGTCCTCCCCTTCCCCCCATATCTGGTATTACTGTCTTTATTTCATTTAGCTGTTTGTATTCCCAGTTGGGAGCTTATCTTCTGGCTGTGTAGCCTAGGCTAGCCCGAAACTCCAGATCCTCAGCTCTCTACCTCCCAAGTGTTGAGATTACAGGGTTTTTTTGGTTTGTTTTGTGTTTTGTTTGTTGTTGTTGTTGTTGTTTTTATAGGAAATAAGTCACATGCTCTAGGCCTGTAGTATCTATACCTTCCAAGTACATTTTAGTAGGAAAAACCAAAGGAGCATGAAAGGAAATCAGGGTAATTATTTTCAGATATTGGTAGTAGAAAAACAATCAATGAGATTTGAGTGACAGAGTGGGGAGTTAGCGGGACGGTCCTCGAGCAGGTGGCTGAGATTACACCTGACTAGTGAGCCCCCAGCCCTAAGGAACGCAGGGCTGGCCAGCCCACCACTGTCCAGCTCGGTCCCCAGTGTCTGCTGTCCCACAGGACTCACTTCATCTAGGTTGGTCTAGAGCTTTCCCACTGCCCTCCTTCAGGTTGCCTTGGGGACAGCTTTGTCCCCTGATGCTACAATTACCATTTGGATTTCCTGTCACCTTCTCCCCACTAACCTGTAAATAATTGGGGGACAAGGATTTATGCTCTAGGAATCATATCTTTCTAGCATTGTAAATCAGGATAGATAGTTGTGGAATCCACCACAACTTGGAGTTAGATTCCTTGAAGTGAAGCAGATTGAACTCTGTTTACCTGGCTATCCATTCTTCCCATCTCTGTATGCCAAGTTTTTTCCTCCTTGTATTTCTAAAAAGCAGGTTTTACCACACTATGAAAATGTGTGGTAATTTGTCCCCTTCCTCATCCTATTGAAGACACCATCACCTATCTCGTTGATGAAGACTAGAATTATCCCCGCTCATGCCCTTACCACTGTCTGTCACATCCAGTTTTGTAGCCTGTGTCTTGTGGCCTAGTCAGGTTTTCACCCTGCTTACCAGCAACTCTAGCTGAAGGTAGTTCTGCCTTTACCTGTGCTACTGCAGCAGTGTGTTAACCCGCCGCATACACCTTCCTTACGTGCATCATTTATGAAGAAGTCTAATGTTCCTTCAAACTCCAGCTGTTTTATAAGTCCTTCCACGTAAACAGTGCAGTTCAAACGTAAGACCCAAGCTATAAATGAATACATGGATACATATGTGCATACACACATCCTGAAGAAAAGTTTGAACTCACTCCATTGTTGCTCAAGTTCATCTTCTCTGGAAGATGTTCTGTGCACTTCCAATTGCAAGGGTCTCCTGCCTGCCCTTCTCATGACCTGTTATTCCCTAGTGTATGTTGAATGAAGTAGGACTAAATCAAGCTGACCACACTGGCAAGATAGCACCATCACAGTGATGCCCTCGTCCAGTGTTCAAAGTGGCGCCAGCAGTGTGTTTCACAGGCAACTGACTGACTTGATGACCTCCTTCACTAAGGCATGGGGAAGGAGACTTGACAGCCCTACTGTCTTCTCACGCTTTGTCCCCTGCTTGTCTTTGCAGAGTATGAGTTGGAAGTCAAAAGAGTCCAAGACATCCTTTCGGGAATAGAGAAACCACAGGTATGTCTTCTGGACCTCTGGGCAAGAACAACATGTTCTTAGGTATTCCTAATGTGCTTTTATTTTGCCACACCATCAGTAAGCAGAAGGACCCCTTCCCACTGCAAATTTTAATAAGCTTGAAACAGTCATCAGTTATTAACGGACCACAAAAATCTAGAACGGGCCACAGAAATGCCACCCTTGTGCAGATGTTCTGAATTCAGGTAGATGCATCTAGGTTTTCTTGGTTCTCCAGAGCAGTTTGTTCTTTGAATTTCTTGTTACCTTTGTAAAGGGAGGAAGAATACATCTTGAAAACCTCAGAGATCCCAGGTGTTTCCCTAGGTAGATTTCAGAACAGTATTTTTATATTAGAGGACATTGGGCACAATGGCAAGAAAGAGATGGTGGGTGTGGTAATGTTACAAGATTTAAATTTCGTTTGCCAGGTGTTTTGAAATTCAGCTAGAAATTTATAATGTTGATTCAACCTTTTTGTCTGAGCTAGAGCCAGAGTTTTGGGGAGTGTTTTCTGGCTGAATTGGAAAAATCTTGATTCTTGGTGTGTTATGAAGACCAGGGCTCTTAAACGGCAGACTCCAGATTGACCCTGGGGGCTCATTTGGACTAAACCAAGGAGCATGGGTGTGTTGGAAGGTGCACATTACAGAGACGTTGCTGGAGACTCGAGTCTGGACTCCTTCTGGGCAGGGCAAGTAGTCATTGGGAGATCTCAGGCAAAGGTGCTAAGTAATCGGGGCTGCATTTGCAGATTGAGCCAAGTTGGCAGATGAATTGGAACAAGAGGGTGGGCCCAGGGAGGGGGAGGTTAGGAATCCTCCCACTCCTCATAGTCCACAGGATGGTGTCCAGGAGTCAGAATTAGGTGGTGTCCAATGTGGCAGGGAGGGCCAGATATTAGGTCCATTCTGAAGGTAAGTTGCTAAATTATTCCCATTTGCTACCGGCTGCCGTGGGTAGCCGGGCTGTAGCTTCAGAACGTCCCTTTCAGCAGCCTCCCCAGTCGCTACCCTTGCCGTCTGGCAGGCTGTCCTCACGGTCTGCAGTACCTCTGGTGGTGCCTCTAGTCTCAATGTGGCCTGGACGCGTCCCTACCGTTGCTCATAACACACTGCACTCGAGGGTATTCCTGAAGGTCTTCCAGCTGGCTGGACTTCCTCTAGGGTACATTCACTTTGGGCTCCTTTTGTATCTTCATGGCCGTTCCTAGACATCTTAGGTCTGTTTCACTTGCAGAGCATCCAGAAAAATAAATATAGCACACAGTTGAATGTGTCTGGTAGACTCCCTGCTGTGCAAAGAGGAGGACCAAGCGCAGGAATGGGCGACTAAACACACAAGTGGAAGTTCACCTTGTAGACACAATAGCAGGTCGGGGGCTGGAGGTAAAGAGTAGGGAGAGATTAGAAAAGGGCTGGAGATGACTCGGTGGGTAATGCTTGATGTGCTCACGTGACGACCTGAGCTTGGACCTCAGCACCCACAGGAAAACAAACCAACAATGAACCCAAGTGTCTTGGAACACCTGTAATCTGAATACAGAGGGACAGGGACAGTGGTTTCTGGGGCTTGTTGACCGACAGGTATAGCTGAAACAATAAGCCCCAGAGTCAGTGAGAGAACCTGTCTCAGAAAGCAAGGCAGAAGCCTGGAGAGATGGCTCAGCCATAAAGAGTATGTATTGCTCTTGCAAAGGACCCAGATGGCTTCCCAGACCGAGGCAGGAGGCATTCTTCCTTCATCCTGGTGAAGTTCTCTGCCTGTAACAGCCACTCAGTCCCCAGCCCGGTTAGTCATTTGCATGGTTTTCTCTCTCCCATCTTCTTCCTCTTGTCCCTTCTTTCTACAGTTCTTGGGCATGATAGTCTTTGTGCACCCAAGACCTAGCTGTCCCTGTCCTTGACACATACTGAACCCTTGACAACTGGTACTGAAGAAATGACAGACATATCTGGGTTCGGGGGGAGGGGGGTAGGACAGATGCCCCCAGACTGGCCAGTGTGGAGGAAGGCAAGTGCAGAGCTTGTCACAGTGCCAGCCAGCAGCTGGGGTCGAGTGGCCCATGTTTCGCAATCATGCCTCTGGGTTTATACCCAGTATTGCTGTTATCTACCTCCCTGACCTTAGCCAAGGTTTAGCTCCTTCCTGATACAAATTGAGGTGCCTCAGTGTCTTCATCTTTTAAAGTTAACGTAATAAAAACACCGTGGGGATCTGAGGGGAGAGTTATATGTTGTGTTAGAATACTTGCTTTCCTTACAGTTTGTAGCATAGTCATAGTTAGGCAAGAGGGTAGCTCCATACTACATTCAGAGATGAGGAGGGGCACCAGATGAAGAAGCCAGGCTGCAGAAGAAGGATGGGCACATAATTGGAAAGAGCAATTCTCCATTCTATTCTCTGTTAGCTACATCTTATACCAACTTCAAATGAAAAACAATGATTTTTCTTTGAGATTCCTACTGATGATTCAAGTGCAGAAGTACCATCTAGGGCTCACAGACTCCAGTCATCTTTCTGTAACTTTGGGCACCCCAAATCGAGTGAGTCATTTACTGTTCCCTTAAAGAGATCCAAGTATTTGGTCAGTTTCATAAAGTCTGTCTACTGATATACAAGGTATTTGTCCCGCAGCTCTACACTTGGGTGCCTTGGGGACTTAGCTGTCATGGTCCCTGCTCTACCCGAGATGGGAGTTTTAATGCTGCCCTCTGTGGTTTAGGAATTAGCAGCCTCACTGGTTTGATCCTCTCAGATGGTGGTGCTCAGTGCAGCCTCCCATGTCCTGGTGAGCTGCTGGTTTTCAGGACCTAACAGCGTATAACCTGCAGCTGTGGTTGTACGTTGTTTCCATCAGTCAGTGTTTAAAGAAACAATTGATGTGTCAGTGCAGAAGTGAGACCTAGGAGGAACACTTCCCTGTAGGAAGCACTTCCTTGAGAGATGTCTGGGAACAGAGCTGAAGCTCAGAGCACACTGGGAGCTGGAAAAGTAGGTGAGCCTAGAGTTTTAGATTTGAGTGTCCATCTTCTGTCCTTTCCTCTCCTGTGTGTTTCTCTTCTGGGTTGTTCATCAAGAAGGCTGCTGTAGAAGTTAGGCCAATATTTCTGTGGTAATCTTGCCTTATGATATTCCTTCACCAGATTGGAGGGCCTCCCACATAGCTAAGTTCTGAGAATAAAACAAAACAAAACACAACACAAATTTACAGGCTAGTTCAAACACTGAACAGAAGGGGCAAAGATATAAGGATTGCTACAAGTTAATACACTGTACAGTTCACACAAACACAACTATTCTCAAGTTAGAATCTATATTTTTAAATTCGTAGGAAGGACTGAGTTCTAACCAGTGTGGAGCCATTTAGAAGTAGATAGTAGTTTTATAAGCCCTCAAGGCATTTTTAAACAGTTAATTCCTATGCAGACTTATCTTATACACTTCCCAAAGACCCTTTTATATCAGTGTTACCTGGGTCAATAATTCAGAACTAGAAATCACCACTTCTAATGAGCCTGACTTCTAATGGTGGCCAATCCCTTAAACGTCCATAAAGCTGTTATACTTTGAGAGACTGTCTGTAGCCATGGTGATCACTTCAATGAACAACAGAGCAGCATCCAGGCCACCCCAGTGATCAGTACTGGTGAGAAAGTTTGGCACAAAGAGAGAAGTTGGCAGTGTGAAGTTCAGGGACACATGCTGTCACTTAGACATAGACTTGATCTGGAGTTCCGATCTCACCTTACCAGGCCAGCCCTGACCCAGCTGATGTAAATACATCTGGGGTTGAGGATTGATCCTAGGTTCTGATCTCACCAGTCCAGCCCTGACCCAGCTGATGTAAATACATCTGGGGCTGAGGATTGATCCTAGGTTCTGATCTCACCAGTCCAGCCCTGACCCAGTTGATATAAATACATCTGGGGCTGAGGATTGATCCTAGGTTCTGATCTCACCAGTCCAGCCCTGACCCAGTTGATATAAATACATCTGGGGCTGAGGATTGACCCCTGGATGGCATTGTTTTCAAAGACAAAAACTATAGTTTCCTAGAGTCCAGCTTGAGGTAGAAGTGACTTCCAAGTCCAAAGGGAGGCCCAGCACTCTTTCCCACAGGGTGCCAGTGGCCGCCAGAGCTTAAAGGAAGAATTCATAGGAACGTCTCTCCTTCGGAAGCAGTGCTGAGTTCCCAGAGTGCACTTGTGTTGGGAAGGCCCTTGGCAAGATTACACGTCACAGGTGCCTACATCTCCTCAAGGCTGGCGCATAGTCTAGGGAGGAGTAAACACTATGGTAGCTGGTACTTCCAGCGTCATATGTCTCTGCTCACTTAAATAGCTAAATCTTTGTGGAGGAAAGTGTGTTGGTAGCACTTTCTAGGAAAGGTGGATTTATGAATGTGTGCTTGGTATCTGGAGCACTGGCTTTCACCAGACTATTCTGAGGTGTGCAAGTTCACACCACCAATTACAGAATCAGTGTCACTACACACTTGGCTCATGGAATGGTGCAAGGCATCACTTATCACTTCAGCAAATTTCTCCCTGGTGAGAGAGCCTACTTTTTTAATGGAAACTGAACCTTTCATAGTGAAACAGCACCTTTAAAATTAAAATTATGTAAAGTGCTCATAGCTCAGGATTACTCATGCAGGTATGTGGAATAATTCAGCATATACCCTGGTGTGTATGAGAAACTGTCTGAAAAGCTAATCAAAGAAATCAGCCACCAACAAATCAATGTCCCGGCAGTGAAATGACTACACAGGAGACAGAAAATGTGGCCAGAGCACACTGAGCAGCAGGGTTCTGACCAGCAAACTGTGAGGACACTTCACAGACTGTCCTGGTCTGTCCCTAGTGTTCTGCAGGCGTCTCTACCCCAGTGCCCCTTGTGTTGCTGCCTTTCTTGTCGCTATGACAAAATGCCTGGCGAAGGAGGTGCAGGGGAGGAAGGGCTCATAAGGATCGGTTGTGAACTTGACAGGCTCTACGAAGAGACAAACAAGCCTCTGGCATGCTTGTGAAGGATTATCTAGATCCGGTTCATTGAGGTGGGACGACCTCCCTGAATGTGCGTGGCACCAATCAATGGGCCGGAATCCCAGGATGGATAAAAAGGATAAAATGAGCCAAGTACCAAGTACCAGCATTCATCATCACTCTGTGCTTTCTGACTAGGAATGCTCCTGCCGCCAGTATGTCCCACCTTGATGGATATAGTACTTCCAAGTGTAAGCCGCCATGACCCCTTCCTCCCCTGTACCGCCTTGGCCAGGCATTTTGTCATAGCGACAAGAAAGGCAGCAACACAAGGGGCACTGGGGGAGAGACGCCCTGCTCATCTCCGTGCAGAGTTCCTCACATGGGCACTGTAATGGCTCATGTGGAAACAAAGGCAGTATTTGGCCTGGGTTTAGGAGTTTGTTAAGCTCAGGGCAGTGGGAAAGATCAAAGCTAAGTCTGGGGCACAAGAGGACCTTGGAGGGTGCAGATGGTCAGTCTTCAGATCAGAGGGCGGATCCTGGTCCCACATTCTGGCCCATCAGATGGTATAGTTCAGTGGAGGCTGGCGGCAGTCTGGAGCCCCAACTGAGGCTGGAGACTTGTCCTTTGATGATCTCTTCTGTGTCCCAGAAGATGTTACACATCGGTCTATCACTTGGGCTGCCTCTATCGGAAACTGAATGGAGCTGGGTGGTAGAGGCACACGCCTTTAATCCCAGCACTCAGGAGGCAGAGGCAGGCGGATCTCTGTGAGTCTGAGGCCAGCTTGGTCTACAGAGTAAGTTCCAAGACAGCCAAGGCTGTTACACAGAGGAACCCCGTCTCAAAACAAAACAAAGAAAATGAATATACCATGTTCCCTCCGATTTAGTTTTTCCTCAACACTTATTTAGCAACCACTGCCCACTGTTGAATATGACTTAGTTTGTGCCCTTAGGGAGTGTTTGAGTCTGTGAGGACACAGATGTGATTAATAGTGGTAGCAATCCCCACTGGGTTCCATAGAAGAGACATGTGATACTGAGTGGAGCATTTCAGAGACTTTGAGGGTACCTAGTGACAGTGAGGTGAAGTTCCCCTGGGGTCTTGAAGGATGAATAGGAATCTGGCTAAATGTGCCATGGTTCTGTCTGTTATATATAGACAGAAATGATGTGGAAGGAATTGAATAAGGAACAGTGAAAAACAATGTTCACCATTTATCTCCCTATCTGTCATTTGTGCTTTCAAATTATTTTGAATATATTGAGTATATTTCCATAATTTATATCGATCAGATAGTGGCAAAAATAGGCAAACACAACAGGGACTGTCTGGTTGTGTGTTCCTTGTGTGTTCCCACCTGGAACACTAAGCTTTAGCATTTGTATTGAGTCTCACTCCTTTGTTCATTTTAATGAGTTAATCCAGACCAGGAACCAAGTTGTAATAAATAGTCTTTAGAAAACTAAAGTTTGAAAGCTCTGTTGTTAGATTTGTATTAAAGAATTAAGCCTTATGTGTAACATGAATCTTAAAGGTACTTACTAATAAAATCAAACCTGAGGCCAGTTATTGGGGTGAATGCTGGAAGATCAGAGAAGCAGAACAGGACACAGCCACCTCACCTTGGCAATTCCTCAGCTGATCCTTTTTCCTCAGACTGGAAGCTTCTGAGTCCTCATCCAAATGAATCTCAGCTGAACTGCTGCTCGAAAGCCTGAATGCTTAGCCAGCCAAATGCTTCTAGTTTCTGGTCCTCACGCCTTATATACCTTTCTGCTTTCTTCCATCACTCCCTGGGATTAAAGGCTCACTTTCTGGGATTAAAGGTGTGAGTCACCATGCTTGGCTGTATCCTTGAACACACAGAGATCCAGGTAGAGCTCTGCCTCTGGAAAGCTAGGATTAAAGGCGTGTGCTACCACTGCCTATCCTCTATGTTTAATATTGTGGCTGTTCTGTTCTCTGACCCCAGATAAGTTTATTAGTGTGCACAATATTTTGGGGAACACAATACCACCACACTTACGCTTTAGGTTGGGTTTCTCTAGAAACAGGCGCTGAAACAGACTCCTACAGATAGTTATTTGGGGAGATGACCTGTAGAACCTAAGATAGAGGGCAGCTGAGACCAGGCAGGGAAGGCAGCCAAGGCTAGACTCGTTCTAAAATGAGCAGATCAGAGCTATGGGCAGCAGGAAGTGTTCAGACGTGCAGGAGGAGAGCATGTAGCTAGAGCAGACCCTGCAGTGGTGAGTGGTAGAGAGTTGGGCACTTGCTGTCTCCTGGGAATCTGTAGGACTTCAGGGGCTCGGTGGGGTCAGTGTCACCTTCGTAGGACAGGCCACCGCCCAGCAAAGCTGGGAGGCGTCTAGAAAATACCTTTGTTTACCTTGAAAGTGTCGGGCACAAGAAGGCCCAAGTGTGTGTCAGACTTCGTAAGCCTGTGTATGGCCTCAAGGATGGTGCTGCAGGAGTTGAGTGTCCTTTGGACATCAGGCCTTTGCAAAGGAACAACAGCTAGGACTTCCATTCAAATCAAAGCCGCCTTGGATTAGCTGTTGTGGCACTGTTATAATGAAGCCGTGACTCAAGGCAGCTGCACTGGAACCATGTGGAATGCATGTGGACATTTTAAAACTCTGCCCCCCCCTTATTTTTCAGGTGTCTAATATCCAGGCAAGAACAGTTGTGCTGTCCTGGGCACCCCCTGTCGGACTGTCCTGTGGACCCCATGGTGGTCTTTCCTTCCCTTACAGCTACGAGGTCATCTTATCTGACAAAGGGAGAGATGGGAAATACAAGATCATTTACAGGTAGTGTATGTTTCCACATTTTTTTTTTGTTTTTCTTTTTTTTGCTGCTAAATTGCATCATTGAAGAAAAAAATGGGAAATTCGGACTATGCAAATTTCCTTTGAAGTCAGTAATTTTAAACATTAGTAATCATAGGGCTGAGGGTATAGCTCACTGACAGAGCACTTGCCTAGCATGTGTGAGGCCCTGGGTTCAGTTCTCAGTACTGGGAAGAGGTATAGTAATTATAATGTCATGAATTACTTAATTTTGTCCAAGTAATTATTCATCAGATATTAATAATAATATAGGGCTATATGGTAGAATAAACGTTTTGATGATATGCTAGTTGTCAATATAGTATTAATACATCTTCTACCAAGGTCTGTCAGGACAAAAAGTGACTAAGTTATTCAGTTCCTACATACATTAGGTGGCTACAAAGTGAATTACATTACAGCCATTTCTTTTTCTAGGCCTATGTCTTAGTTAGGGTTTCTATTGTTGTGAAGAGACACCATGACCACAGCAACTCTTACAAAGGAAAACATTTAATTAAGGTGCTGCCTTACAGTGCAGAGGCTCAGTCCATTGTCATGATGATGGGGAGAATGGCAGTGTGCAGGCAGACATGATGCTGGCTACATCTCAATCAGAAGGCAACAGGAAGTGAGCTGTGACACTGGGCAGTATCTTGAGCTTATAAGACTTCCACAGTGGCACATTTCCTCCAACAAAGCCACAGTTCCTAATTATTCCACTCCCTGTGAGCTTATGGAGACAATTATGTTCAAACTACCACAGCCTGCTTTTTGAAAGCTACAATATTTTTGTTTCCATTTCACCTTGCCCTTTACCCTCTATACTGAACTGAAGGTTACTTTAAAACACTTCATTATGAAGCTTTATTAAATGGCTCTGAGTTCAGCACTCCAAGAAAGAGATTAGCCTCTGTTTTACGGAGTCCCACACATCAGCTGACCTGGTGATTTATAGCTGTTTTCTAAATGTGATAAAAATGTTAGGATCAGGTCCTTTCTCCTTATACAGCTTATGTTTGCAGAGCAAGGGATCAGAAAGTCAGGTATTTGAACTCCTTTTTGGACCTCCCTGTGGGTGGCCTTGATGGCCTGTGCAGCGCAGTGTAGCTCACTCACAAAGTCCCACTGTGTCTCAGCCAGAAGCCTTGCTTCCTCTTCAGTTCTCACCCTGTGCCATGCAGCGTTCACTCTGTCTTCTGCTTTCATGACGCACTGCCCAGATGAGCCGACTTGTGGACGAGGAAAGAGAAAGAGATGAGAAAAGAACCATTCCAGCGCTGACACTCTCTCTTAGCTCCTCTCTGCTCCGCTGTCTCCCCTGGTCCCTGCTGTGTCCTGACTTTCCCACAGCTGCGCTCACCCAGCATTGTCAGATCTCGTCCCCAGAGTCACACCAGAGGCCACATCGTTACTCCTTGGCAAGAACACTCTAGAGATTGCTTTCTTTGCTTGGAATAAAACCTCAATTTGGTGCTCTGGCTCTTAATCATTTTATTCTATTTTGAAAAAAGATACATTTAGAGACAAATTGGGAAAACATAGAGCCTCTACCTCCTCTCTCAGGAATCAGAGCAGGGGAAGGCGTCTTGCTTTATTGCCCAGGCTGGCGAAGAACTCATCCCTCAGTACACCCAGGCGCCGGAACTCCAGGTGTGGTGTACAGGTGGACACCGCTGCCCCCAGCTAGCTACATCCTGTTGGTTTGAGATGAACGCTGATGCTAACAGCTAGCCACAGGTCCCCCAAGGTGGGTGATACAGTGCAGGTCGCTGCTGGCGGTCAGAAGCCTGTCTGCTGGAAAGGAGCACTTGTCCCTCAACTTCAGCTGTCAGGATTTGTTGACTTTTTAGGGATTTTCCCCCCAGAGATGCTAAAACTCTCCATGACACTGTCGTTTTTCTCATGTCCACCTAGTTCAGCAGATAACAAACCATTTTAAGTGGCAATGTAGGGCCAAGCTGCAGAGCTGTAAGCTAGTGTGGACGTAGCTTCTGGTTTGAAACTTCACACCAACAACTTTATTTGGGAGACATTGAGACAGCTCAGACCTGGGGTGTGTGATGGCTGCATGCAGCTGTGTGCTGTACGTGTTTTTCCCTCACTCAGCTTTTATCCTGTTAACCTAGCTAGCTGTGCCTTTTTCTCTTCTGTGTGTACTTCTTCACATAAGTTTCATACATCACAGTCCTTTACCATAAGTGTTTCATGTTTTCTGAGCACAAAGATGTTTTTATAGATGACCACATTGTAATTTTCAGTTTCCTTAATATATGCTGGCCTAGAGATTTCATCTAACCCATTGTCCTGACTCCAGCTCCACCAGCTGACCCTGTGACTCTCTCATTTGGAAAACTGCCTCTTGTTTGGAGAACTGTGGCAGTGTTTGGATTCCTTCAAGATAGTGTCAGATAAACACACTTAGTTTCTATTTCTAGTCTCTTTTAATGTGTCATTTGATAATTTTGAAGAATGAGAAAAAAGGTATGGGCACACACACGTACCCTCTACTTTAAAAAAATTTACATCAGGGTTTTGCTGTGTAGTTCTCTTGTCTGTCTTTGAACTTGCGACGATCCTGCCTCCACATCCTGGGTTCTGGATTCCAGGTGTGTGTTACCACCCCTGGCCTTTTGGCCACAGTGTAACAGAATGTGCCTGATTTTGTAGGGCTTGTTTCTTCATCATTTAGGCTGAGGCTCAGTTGCCCCTTTGGCTCACAAAGGGTTTTACTTATGTCTGAGAGCTGTTTTGGGGGGGGCCTGGGATGGACTATAAGTTCATTGCGGGGGTCCTATGCTGAGGGCATTGGGGTTCCCTCCAGGGTAAGTCTGGGAACCACTTTGGCAGACAGCTAGTGTATTTTGCGGATCTAGCTGTTGGTGTACATTACTGGCTTTCATGTCTTGGTTTAGGAAGTCCTAAGATGTTTAAAACTTACTTGATGCTGTGTCTGAGTTGTGTCATTCAAAGGAGTTTGGTTTTCAATTTAAAATAAAGACAGCCACCAAATGAGGTTGATTTCTGGGTTTTGGTGAATGCAGACTCAGCAGTATTTGAGTTACTGTTGGTGAATGACTGTGAAACCCAGTCCCAAAGCTGCTTTACCTTTGAGACTAGTATTAAACTAACAAATCCTTTGTCTTTGCAGTGGAGAAGAATTGGAATGTAACCTGAAAGATCTCAGGCCTGCCACTGATTACCATGTGAGGTGAGTTAGTTCCCAGCCATGAAAGAGCCTGCAGGGTGCAGGTGGCCATTGGACATCCCGAGCCTCCTTTTGAAAGCGGTGTTGAATGGCACTTCCCTCGTGGAAGGTGTGGGCCCAGAGCCATGGCTGTTCGTTCACATTCTGTACACAGAGCATAGCAATTTTGAGGACCCAGGACTGCTTCTGGGACAAAAAAAGGAGGTGTCCTAAACAGCATGTATATTTTTAAAAATAATTGTTAGGGCTGGGGAGCTGGCTCAGTCCGTAAAGTGACATTAGGGTATGAGTTCAGTCCCCAGCAGTGATGTATAGGCTTGGCTGCAGGCACCTGTAATTCAGTGCTGGAGAGGGGAGGCAGGGACTGGGGGATCCCAGGACTTGCTGACCATGGGTCTAGACAGATCAGTGTACTTCTGAGTCAAAAAAATTTTTAAAATTAGTTATAAAAAGATTCAGTTATTTTTTTTGAAATTGTAATCATATCATTTACCCCTTTCCTTTCTACCTCCCAACCCCTTCCATATACCTCCCAAACTCTCTTTTTCTTTGATTGTTGAGATGTAGAAATATCCTAAATACAGAACTACAGTCTGCTCAGTCCACATAGTGTTTCTTGGATGTGTATGTTCTGGGGCTGACCACTTGGTATTGGATAGCCGCTGGGGAGGCTGTTCCCTGGAGAAGATTATTTCTGGCAATCAGCATTCCTTAGTTGCCCATAGATCTCTGCTAGGGTTGAGGCATCTTGAACTTTGCTGCTTCTCCAATTGCGTGTCTGTTGATGCCATTGTGGTTGAGCCTTGTGCAGGCAGCCATGTTGGGAGTGTTCATGGCTGTAGCTTCCCTGGCATTTCTAGGGGACAGTCTCCCAGGAAACTTCCGGTTCCTCTGGCTCTGGTCATCTTCTCCAGCCTTCCGAACTGATTCCTGAGCCTAAGGTTCAGGAACTGTGTTGTTAGATGTATCATTTAGGCCTGGGCATCACATGATCTCTTGTTCTCTGCATTTTGTCAGTTGTGGTTTTTCTGTAATGTTCTATAATGATATCATGTCATTTCAATGCAATGCAAACTTACAGAGTTCTAGGAATTTAAGTGTCAGTCATAAATTCAGTAGTCACTGCAGAGGGCTGTGTGGAAACAGCCTTTGCTATGGAAGACCCATTTCACCCAGCAGCCACAAAAGGAGAGCTAAGCCCACTGCCCCTCTCATTAGGAATTTAGAAACGTCACCCAGCTCCAAGCTCACAGACCTTACTCAGACAACTGGGGTATTTCTTTTAACAGCACAAAATAGGCGATATTTTCCCTCCCTGTTGTTATTTTTGTTCGTTTCATTTTTTGGAGAAAGGGTCTCTGTAGCCAGGAATGACTTGAACTTCTGCCCTCCCAAGTGCTGGGATTACAGGTGTGAGCCCAGGAACCATCGTATACAGTCCCTGGCATACTGAGCCACACATCCTCTTCCTAATTCCTAATATTGCAATCTTGATTGAGACCTACAGAAATCTTGGCACATAAATATTTCATTCTTAAATTGTGTGCTGATGTTACGTGTAGGCTTTCTTGCTACTTTGTTTTTAATTATGAAATTTCCTGAAGTTAATGTGCAGAATAATGGGCTTCATTATGATCTTTTCATTTATTACTGTATTTTGTTCATATTCAGCCCCTGTTACCTTCTCTTGTTTCCATCTCTTCTGACGGGTTCCTTCCTGTGCCTCAGATTTCCTTTGATTTTTCTGCTCTGGTTTTATTCTACCCACAGATTGTCTGATACCTTTTCCTCACCTTTGGCTCCGTCTGCCATTGGAGTCTACTCATAGGAAACAGCAAGCCTGGTTTTCTAAGTAGCAAGCTCCTCTCTGGAATCTTAGCACAACCTGCCTTGTGGCTGGTTGCCTGACCAGGAACAGACAGCTCTTGTTTTTGCTCTTCCCTCAGATCACCAGGACATCCTCTAGGCTATGCTGTCGACCGTGTGCTATTTTTATGGTCATCTGCCGTCAAATGCCCAAACCCATTTCAAGTTTAAAAAATGCTTCTTCTTCCCCATTTTTTTATATGTGGCATTTCTGCAAATCTATTACTATTGTGATTTAAACAAAAAGATCTCTATGTAATGTATGCATTGATTTGTAAAATTTAGGTCTTTTCTTGAGTTTTGTTAAAATAATCATTTTTAATTAACTCATATAATGTTTAAAAAGAATCAATTTATAATTATCAAAGTATAATTAGTGCTTCATTAGGGATAGAATGCTATGTGCTGCATAAAACCATTAAAATAGAATCTACTATAGTTTTGAAGGGAATCTGAAGAGAGAGGGGAAACAAAGACATTGAGATGATGTGTTGAAGTGGAAGGGAAAAAATCTGTTTTTTTCTGGAAAGATTGTTCAGTCAGTAAGGGCCTCAATGTGATCCCTGGAACACACATTAAAAAGCCCGCCACCGACAGGTGACAGGAGGTGGTGGTACACGCCTTTAATCCCAGCACTCAGGAGGCAGAACCAGGTGAATCTCTGTGAGTTCGAGGCCAGCCTGGTCTACAGAGCAAGATCCAGGACAGGCACCAAAACTACATGGAGAAACTCTGTCTCGAAAAACCAAAAGGAACAACAACAAAAAAAAAAAAAAAAAAAAAAAAACCTGCCACCATAACACATGCTTGCAATCTCAGTACTGAGAAGACTCCTTCCTGGGGCTCACTGCCAGACAACCTAACCTAATGGGTGAACTCCAGCCAATGAGAGACTCTGTTTGAAAGATAAGGTAGATAGCGTTCCAGAGGAAAGGCACCCAAGCTTGTGCTGGCCTCTACACAAATACTCACACACACGTGCACCTGCACGCACATGTTTCCCCCCCACACACACACACACACACAAATTATTTTAAAGGAAAGAAGAATATCATGTAAATAAATACTGTTTTAAATACTCATGCTTAACTTTGTACCCACACATATGTCTGTAAAGAAGCATTTACGTATCTACAAATGTTTCTTTCCGGGCGTCTCTTGGAGAAGGATCTTCCTCCTTTGGCTGGCAGGTCTATAAAGTTAACGGTGGTGTAAGATGATCGTTACTGTGGGAGCCCAGGACTCAGTCTTAGCACCTGACCTGGGACGCCTTGCCAGCTGCAGGGCACGGGCTGCTGCCATCATGGCCCTTGCCCCGTTCTCTGCCTGTGCTTCAGTCTATATTAAAGCCTCCTAAAAACAAATTCCAACTTTGCTTCAAAACAGGAACTGCTATTTCTGTCCGTAGTAGCCCGCCGGGGACTTGAGTGATGGAGTGGATAGCAGGCCCATGACAAACTTGGTGGCACTTTCTCAGTCACCACTGTAAGCAATTTACCCAGAGATGACATCATGGAATGACATTTCCCAGAAAAATGATGTGCAGAACCATTTCTGAAAGTCTAGTCGACCAGCCCAGAGCGAAGCTGTGAAGTGGGTGCCGCTAACGGGAGACTGTGCTCCTGGGCTGTCCCGGACGTGTGGGAGGGACACATCACCAGCTGCAAGCCCGGTGATGAAGCTCCTGGAGCACCTGCCCCCTCAGTGTTGGGCTGGAAACCAGGGTGGAGTCCAACACAACATTATTATGCAGGAAGATGTCTGGTTTGGGGGGTTACATGCAAAAGACAATCCAACTGATTCATTTAACCCAAAAAGTGATCCTATGCTATAGATCTTCCTGTTACAGGATATTAGAGAAAACCTATCACCCTCATGTGGAAAATTTTGGATTATTTTATTTATTTACATATTTATTTATTTTGGGGGGGGGGGTGATTGCATATGGAGACCAGAGGACAACTTACAAGAGTGGGTTCTCACTATCATGTGAGTTCCAGGGATCAAACTCAGGTCATCAGGCTTGGCGGTAGGTGCCTTTAACCTCTGTGCCATCTTGCTTTCCCCTGAAATATTTAATAAATAGGGCATTTTCAATGATTTTACTTTTTATAGACATCCTGGGTAAGGCTGTAGCAAGCTACTGTTACAGTTACAATTAGTTACTATTTATTTACTGAACAGTTTTGGTTAATAAATAATCCTGACGTGATTGGATAATGTTTCAGTTTTTACTGTCTACAACATTAACATGATGCTTTAAAATTAACCTGGTTTTCCTTGCTGACCAGCTTGTATGTGTGAAAAACACTGAACTTCTCATTTAAATGAATGATAACTTGCCATTTTTGGAGAGGGGTTTGCTGGAGATTACGCCCAGGGCCTCATGCATGTTGCAAACACGCTCTACCCCAAGTTCCACACACCAAACAGTCTCCACAACTAAAGATGAGCGGAGCAGCTCCACGTGGCCTGTGTAACCACCTCACTTTTACTTGGGCCCTCAGGTTCTTTCTCTGCCAAACTCTGTTTTATCAAAGATCCTGAAATCAAATTTAGATATTATATATTTTGCTTTTAAATAACGTTAACCATCATTATATGCCACTTAAAACACAATAGTCATTCTTAATGTCTTCAAAATTCAGAAATTGCTCACATTTCCTCATTTGTCCTAAAAATGAAGGTTTACTTTCTTTATTTTGCTGTTATGAAAGTTCAGATGTAGCCTGAACATGCTACTTGGTTAATGGGTCTCAGATTTCTTTAGCATCATGGATTTTCCTTCATGTCTGTACTGGGGTCACTTTTGTGTCCTGTAGTGTTCCGTACTTGCCATTGAGCTGACTGAGCCTCTGCCTATTGCTTGATATGCTTCCTCGTCCTCTGACTTTCCAGGAAGGCGGCAGTGGCATAATCAGATCCACACACAGACTCCTAGATGATGGCTTGTCTTTGTCAATTGTCTTTGTTTGTGTATCTTACTACACAGCATAGGCTGGCCTAGAACTCACGTTGTCATTCTCAGTTAAGGTTTCTGTTTACGTGATAAAACATCATGACCAAAAACAACTTTGAAAGCAAGAAGTTTATTTCAGCTTAAAACTATTTTGGGAGGTGGGAGTGGGGGTGGAGGGTTTGAAACAGGGTTTCACTGTGTAGTCCTATCTGTCTTGGAATTTGGACTTCAACTCAAAAATCTGTCTGCCTCTGCCTCTGCCTCTGCCTCTGCCTCTGCCTCTGCCTCTGGAGTGCTGGGATTAAAGGCATGCACCACCACACCTGGCTCAAGTTTACATCTTAGGTCACATTTCATCCCTGAGAGAAGTCAAGGCAGGAACTCAAGGTTAGGAGGAACTGAAGCAGGGGCCATGAAGCAAGGCTGCCTATAGTTTGCACCTCCTGGCTTGCTCAGCCTGTTTTCTTATGCCATCTAGGGGCTACCTGCCCAGGAAGGGCACTGCCCACGGTGGACTTTGATTATTAATTAATGGGACCCTCCTACACTAATCATCAGTCAAGCCAACGCCCACCAGGCTTGTCTGCAAGTGTCGGTGGGGATTTTCCCCATGAGGTCCCCTTTTCTCAAATGACTCTAGCTTGTGTTACATTGACAGAAAACTGACTGGGATAGTAGCTCAAGGCACCTTTGAACTCACAGTCCTCCTGTTTCAGCCTCCTTCATGCAAGAATCATAGGTGTGCACTCTAGCGCTCGGGTGCTGTGACCATGTATTGGGAATACACAGCATCTGATTATCTCCTTTATGGTGATCTTAGTTTAAATCCTAAATTGATAGGTGACTCTGATATTTAAAGACACCAGCTCCCCTCCGACAACACACAATGTATCCTGGTCTAGATATAGGGCATAAGACTTCAGTTGGAAAATTGTGATATAAAGTGTAAGCTTGAACTGACCATGGCTGGAACAGTGTGTGGTTCATTTGAGTCTATCCTGACGTGTGGATGCAGTCTTGTGCCAGGTCACTGCCGTTTGGTTTTGCGTTACCACATTTGTCGTTACTGTGTGCACAGAGGAGCCTTTTCTCAGTTGGGTTGGGCAGGGAGCTTTCTCACAATTGGGATCATTTTTTTGCCTCAAATGCTGTGATGTCCTCCCATAAGGCAAAACACAAACACAAGATGGACTTTTATGTTGCCTTTTAGATGGAGTCTACATTTGTGCTTAGCATTTTTGATTTACATACCCTAAAATCAGGCACATGATGCTGAGCCCAGTGCCTCAGAGTGCAGAGAGAATCCTCAGTCTTGGTGCTGTGTGCAGGCATTAAATGTGCATGTGGATGGGCTGCACTGGAATACTGTCGTGGTGTGTGCAGGCATTAAATATGCACGTGGATGGGCAGCATTGGAATACTGTCTTTGTTGAATTGCAGAGAGATGCCCTTGGCAGCAGCCCTCAGGTCTCTTGGGCAAAGCATCCATATTTTTACCTAACTGTACACGGTGCTCTCGGTAGTTCTGAGATATGTACCCTGTTGTTCTTTTATACATTCTCTGCAGCCTGTGAACCCCGCACTGAATCATGTCCCTGTTCACTAACTCCAAGCTAGTGTACTTTACACCTTTTTCTAGACAGCCAAGCAAGCCTGTTGGCTTTTAGAATGTTTATATGGAGGCCATTTAGAGAGAGAAGCTCCACTTTCTATGTAGAATGCTCTTTTCCAGTCAGTGGAGTTACCGCTATTGCGGTGGGGCTGAGTGGGACTTCCTGAACAGCATACCTACTGAGATGGTTGTCCCTGTAATGACTGACCGGCTAGGTAAGGACAGGAGCGCAGTGCTCTCCTGTGGAAGGACTTCTGCTCAGCCGTGGAAAGCCCATGAGGCAGAGATGAGAAGCTTGATCGTGGATCTCAGCTACTGATGCTCATTCTGCCTGTCGTTCCCTTCGCAGGGTGTATGCCGTGTACAATTCCGTCAAGGGACCTTGCTCTGAGCCAGTTAGCTTCACCACCCACAGCTGTACACCAGAGTGCCCCCTTCCTCCCAAGCTGGCGCACAGGAGCAGAAGTTCACTCACCTTGCAATGGAAGGTGAGTAGCTCAAAATGCCAAGAAGATGCTCAGGTTGGTGGCGAGGCAGTCAGTGGCCATTTCAGATATCCCGTTTGCACTGGGGCTTGTTTGCTGTGTAATCACTATATGAACCCAGTCATGATGCATCAGAAGCTGCTGTTTACATGACAGTCCGAGGCAGAGGAGGGGGAGGAAGGACCTGCAAGATCCAGTGTGAGCACCTTCTCAGGAACTTGGTAAATCTCCCAGTGCATCATAGGCGATATAAATACTTAAAATACCTCAGTTTCATCTCTTTCTACTACTTTAGTTCATTTCTGTGAACATTTGGAAGCTTCAGCACACCGTGTGAAGGTTTAGAGACAGACAGTAGGTTTGAGTTCTTTTAGCTTCTTCCTAAGTAAAGACGAAATACTTATTAGTTAAAGCTTCCCAGAACATGTGGTTCTGTACCCCATTAAGACTTCATTAATTTTCACTAATTAGTCATTAGCTCAATCAGGATTCCTATTTTCAACTGAACTGTGTCGTGGTTTTCATAAAATACAGTGTACTGTTTAAAAATAACCATTGCCTGGCCAGTGATTTTAGGGTGTGTCCCTTCTGTAAAGTACAACTTTAACCTGTTAATCACAGTTTTGTGTTTTCAAGAAAACGTGTCATTATCGCCCTTTACAATCATTATTTCTCTGTCTTGATATCTGAAAATGTAGTTAGAAAGTGTCAAATATATGGAAATGGTGGAAGTTACGGTTCCAGAGTGCGGAGGGGGAGAGGCCCGGGGAGAGAGTAGTGAGTAATAGTGTAAATGTAGCCAGGCTTCTCTTCGTCCTGGTGTATGGAGCCACGTGTTCTTAGTCAGTGGCTGACGTTGACTGTGTTGTTGGGACAAAGGCGAAGTTTCAACTGGCTTAGACTCTGAACTTTTTTATTTTCCTTCCTGGCTTCCAGGGATAATCCAGGTCAGTGATTTCCCACCTTTTCAGAGTTTTAGCACCCAACTGGTCATTGTTGGTTAATTCCTTGGCAAATACACATTCATTTAAAAGTTCATGTGAGATAATAGATTTAAAATCTATTTCTTTTGAAAAAAAAATGTAAGAAATCTGAAGATTACCAGAGGGATCCCAAGATCTTACAAACTTAAAGTTGGGAATCACTGATATGTCTCTGCTCTGTGCTTGGGTGGCATTTGGGTCTCAGATGGACCAGCAGCTTTCAGAGAGATCACTTGGGGACCAAAAGTACCCTGTTCCATTTAGTCATCCGTAAACATAGGAAGGTCCTGGATTCAACTCAGCATCTATTTAAATTTGCTGGTGCAGGTTGCCTGTGTGCACACTGGGTAAAGGCATGTGCACCAGAGACTTCTGGGTAAAGGTATGTGCACCAGAGACTTCTGGGTAAAGGCATGTGAGCTGGAGACTTCTGGGTAAAGGCATGTGTGCCAGAGACTTCTGGGTAAAGGTATGTGAGCTGGAGATTTCTGGCTGCTGCCTGTTCTTGACTCCACAAAGAAACTGAGGAAGCCAAAGAATTGGTTTCTCCTGAAGGCTTTTGCCAGTTTCTTCAAAGTTCACCGAAGCTCAAGACTTCAGTTCCCAACTCAACACTCTCACAAAAGGTGGGTCAGCAGGAAGGGAGGGAAAGACTGAACCTGTGGCTCTTACAGAGCGCTGATAATGTTTTATTATCAATAGTGATAAAGTAACAGCTGCCATTTGCTGAGTGCTTCTTAAAAACCTGGGTATATTCGTGAGTGATTTACATATAGTCTCCCAGCTAGCTATCAAAGATCTTCATTCTTGGAAATGAAATTTCCATGTTGATATTAAACAGCTCACACCAGACCGTTGGCAAGCAGACAGCTGGGCTGGGGTTCCGTCTTCAAGGGTGTGGTGCAGTTTGCTGGGCCCCTCTCTCTCTGAGTAAGAACCAAATCCAAGCATATTTTTGAGACAAGATAGGCTCCTACTGTTTGCCTCTTATTTTCTCAGTCTTTCTAGAACGTTCTACCCTGAGTGCTGCAATAACCACACAGTGTCACCCCTGCTAATAGCTCAGGTTCTGTAAAGTACTCTTTTCTAGAAGTGCTACTTGCCATGTTGAACCTTGTCTTCTCATTGACATTTCTTTTATGAGCACAGGAAGAAATGAAGCCTCTTTTTGCTAACATGTGAAGGGCTAGTACCCTCTGGTAGTTTATCCAGAGGATGTAACCTTTCCGTGTGTGTGTGTGTGTGTGTGTGTGTGTGTGTATGTGTGTGTGTGTGTGTGTGCAGGAGGGTGGAGTGGAGGATGGGGGACTTAATGCCACAGCTGGTTCTCTAATCCTAAGTGCTTAAAGGAAAAAGTAAAACAAAACAGAAGTCCAAAGCTGTGAGGGGAAGTTACAAAAAGTCAGGCATGACTGTGCCTGCTCGAAGCCCCGAGCAGTGTCTGTGTGGTACAGCGGGTCTTTTGTTTCTTGATATACTGAACCTAAAGTGACTCTTCAAAGTTTTATCCCACAGGAAGCAGGGTGCACAGGGCAGGAGTATAGAGGGGTGGGAATGAGTGTGCTTTACTCTCCAGAACTGCCAGTGAGGAGGCCGCTCTTAAGGCTGAGGTGTAGAAAGTTAATAGGTAATTGAGTCTACCAAGGCCCCGCGGCAGCTGCTGGCTCCCTCTCTGAGGGGACAGCACAGAGCTATGACAGCCACTGTCTTTGACCAAGTTGCTAGCTTGTCTCTGAACACTTTCTCCAGTCTCATTTCATCATTTTCTTTTTTAGGCACCAATTGACAATGGTTCAAAAATCAGCAGCTACCTTTTAGAATGGGACGAGGTAAGCATCTTCCCACATCCATCCATCCAAAATGCCATTTCCAAGATACTGGTCCTTCCCGAGACGTGTCAGACAAAGGAAATGCAACATCACTACAGACACTTACTTAGCGCAGTAGCTGTTGATGATGGAAAAGCAGTTGAAGTAGTACAGTGGATTGTGCATTAAAATAAATTTACTTGCTTTTATGCAAGCAGTGCTACTGAAAGCAGGCAGGTCTTATCGATTCCGATTCCCACCGCCTCCCCGGGCATTCATGTGTATTTGCAGTTGGTTGCATTTTCATCTCCACTGCATGGATGGTTTTGATAAGGCAAAGCCTGCTATTTGGTAAGCATGCTTCAGTTGTCTTCTTTGGAGTGTGACCTGGTGCCCTTCTTCATGTCTGTCTGGGAGTGGAACAGCACATGAAATCTCATTCATACCTGGCATGAGTCTGTGGATTAGACTGTCCTGTGACAGGGACAGTGCCCAGGATGGAGTGAGCCTGTCCTCAGAGCTGCTCTGCTGTAAGCCAGTGGCCCAAGGCCTCTCCGTCCTCACTCTCACAGTCCACCCAGAACCTCCTGCAGGAGCCCCTGTGCATGGCAGGTATTGCTGTACCTTTGTTCCTGTAGCCCTCTGCTGCATTCAGCCAGTGCTTTATCCTCCCTTTGTGTGGTTTGAAAAGGGCGCGAAGGACTGAAAAATAGAACATGTAAAAAAGAGAAAAAAAAAAAAACAATGGGGAATAGTTCAAGTTAACTAATCTTTGTGACTTAAATTTGAAGAGATTAAAAAATTCAGAATGTATGCAAGGGCAAAAACATGACTTGTCAGGTATGAGAAACTTAAAAATGGAGCATTTACATAGATCAAATAGTTAGCAATGACATTTTGAAGTGACGGAAGGGACCGTCATTGCTTTCTGTGGAGTGTATTGCATTTGGGTTGCATCTTAACAGCTTTGAGTAACCAAAGACAATTGCCAAGGTGGCTTTAGAATCCTTACAAATACCTCATAGGTGCAGATAGGTGAACCCAGTTGGCTGACCCCCAAGCCCCCGGGGTCTGCCTGTCTCTGCCTCCCCAGTGCTGAGATTGCAGGCATGCACCCCTGTACCTGGGATTTTATGTGGGTTCTTGTGATCATGTTGTAAACAATTTCCCAGCTAAACCACCTTTTTACCCCCATGCCTGGCTTTCTGCCTTGTGCTTTTTGCTGTTTGTCTTCTTAGAACAGTGACAATCTAAGGTCAGAAAAGTCAGAGAAATTGAGTGTTTGAGTGGGAAGCCTCCTAGGTAGGCCGCTGAAGGAACCAGCAGTAGAAGGGAATGTGTTGGTGTGGTACCCACCATGGACTGGACATCACAAAGTACTCAGTGGTTAGCCTGGGGCCTTGTACCTCCCCGTGAGTGGTCTCCTTTTTCTCTCCCCCATTCTTACTTAATCCTCTACCTTCTTTATGCTTCTTTCTCTCCTCTCCCACCTTCTTCAACACCTGCTGGTGTTGGCTCTGCGGCCTTCTGCTGGAGATACCAGGCTGCCTCTTACCTACGAGCCAACACAGGGCTCTTCTTGTGCTCTGTAGCTTAACAGTCACCTTGTAGGGCTGTCATAGCCTCTGGCAGCAGAGGGTCACAAAGAACACAGACTAAGATAGTTATCCCATCTGGGAAGCGGCAGCAGAGACAGACAGTCATCAGCTTGCAAGCATCCATGCTGTCACTAAGTAGGTGATTTGTCTTTCACCTTTGCTGATCAGAGTACTTTGGGATAGCTTTTAGTATTATTTCATGTATTCATTTGTTACTTAAGCATTCTTGGCGCATGGCCGGCCCTTCCTGCTCCACATGGCAGACTGTCCTATGAGAGAAGAATGATTAGGAAGCTAGCACTCTCCCCCATGGTAGCTGAGCAAGCTCCAGGTGCTTCTCCTGTGTGCTTTTGAGCATATGTAAATGATATGCAAATGAAGCAAACCTGGCCACGTGCTCCTCATTTTCCAGCCAGTTACTTCTTTGTTTTATACCCCACATTTCTCCTCATTCCCCCTAGAAAGGTTAGGAAATGGTTCTATAGACTATAGTCTGTGGCAATGAGACTTCATGCAATAGTAACTAGTTCGTTCTTGCCCGGCTTCTCATTTTAGAAGTGAAATTTCTAGAGAAATAGTCTAGGAGTTTGTTTCTAAATGGGACCAAAGGATCAGCAGCCCTCCTCAGAGTGGCTTGCTGAGTCTCTATTCCCATGTTGCCCAGGCGCTGGCCACAGGGAAGGCAGGCAGGTATTCAGAGAAAGAACAGCATCTGGCCTGCAGGAAGTAAGGACACGTGAAGCACTGACTGCCCCTCTGGAACCTTCGGGTACTCTCTAGAGCCAGTGCACCTGGTGCAGGGCCTGTTTCTAGACTCTGCTCTCGTACAACATGGTGGAGTAAGAGGCTGGGAAAGGCCGTTAGACTGCAGGTCCCGCCTCCACAACCTTCCAGGAACCATACCTCCCATTGCCTCTCCACAGCTGTGGCCTCAGCCACACATCCAGAACCTCTGGGCTGTCCAGGGACTGCAGAAATAAACATGAGTAGAGAAAAATTGTGGGGTATACGTAGAGGAACCCATCATGGAAGGATATAATTGACACCTTCAGGTTAACCACCTGCATGCCTTGTGTGCATGCACACACTCAGAGATACACACCAAGACAGTAAACAAGCATAAAAACATTTTTAAAGATGGATGAGTCTCAAAGTTGTGCTGAGGAAGCTCACCAGGCCCAGGGTCATAACTGAGGGAAGGTGTACCTGTCCACATGTATACCATGTGTCTAGGTGTCCTTCAGAGTCCCAGGCTTTAGTACACAGCACAGAGCAGCGGCTCCTGCTCCAGGAAACCCCGTTTGTAATCTCTGCTCCAAAGGCGATGAGTGGAACATTTTGAAAGTATTGGTAAATTTTGAGTACAGGACCTAAAGCCCAGCTTTCAAGCCTCTCCAATGAAGCCTCCCTGAAATAAAGCCGGACCTTTGGCTCTGCTGGGCCCGCAGTGCTGGGGTTGGGGGAGGGCTCAGTGAGGACCAGAAGAGGACAGAGCAACAACCGGGAGCTCTTACTCAAGCCCGTGGCCAGTGCTTTCTCACTTCATGGAGTTCACTTGAAAGTTACTGGTGGGGCATTGATAAAAGACTGAGGTCTTTTTCTGCCCTGGTAACTGGCTTGGTAACTGCTTAATTTTTAAACCCATGTGAGATAACCCAGTATGCGATGGCATTGAGCATCTAAGAATGGAACCTTCTGGAATCCTTGTCTTCTCAGCTGGGAGATCAGTTTTTCACTTGACACATGTTGATTTTCATTACTTGAAGTGGTGTGGCTTTTCCTGCCACACCAAACAAGGGCCCTGTCACTGTGGCTCACATGACCTTTGGGCTTGGAGAAGTTGCCCTGCCTCTTTGCAGATAGGTCTCCGGCCAGAGCTCCCCCCCATGAGACTCCCTGGCAGGAGCGTGGAGGCAGAAGTCATTTCCAAGCAGGTTTCTATTGGATGGTTGTCAGTCAGCTTCTGAGACCTGCCTTTCTTCCTCCTCAGTTCTCCTCAGGGCAGAACCTGGATCTTCACATTTCTAGGGATCCGAACTCAGGCCCTCAGCTTGTGTAGCGGGCACTTCACCTACACAGCCGTCTCCCCAGGCCCCTTAGCATTTTATTAAACATCAGGCACTGGTTTTCTCAACACAAAGCTGTGGACAGCGAGTTATCTCCTGTCGGTCAGTTCCCAAATAACCACTCAGGGGCTTAATATTACTTATAAATGCTTGGCCGGTTGCTCAGGCTTATTCCTAACTAACTCTTACACTTAACTCATAATTCTTATCTATGTTTAGCCACGTGGCTTGGTACCTTATCTCAGTGCAGCATTCTCATCTTGCTTCCTCTGCGTCTGGCTGGCGACTCCTGACTCCGCCCTTCTCCTTCCCAGCATTCTCAGTCCAGCTCTCTCACCTGACTTCCTGCCCAGCTACTGGCCTGTCAGCTACTTATTAACAAAGCATAATCCACAGCACCAAGCTTCCCTCCCAAGGGAGTCAGTGAGAGAGGAGTAGTACAGGGTTCCTGTTCCTATGGAGGTCCGTGCCCGTCCTCTCTGAGCTCCCCCCTGCTTGAGGAGCTCCCAGCATTCTGTGGTGGAGGCAGGAGGGAGTTCTCTAGAAGAATTGCTGCATGGGGGATTGACTTACTCATGGACACTCTTAGGGTGTCAGCTTCTCGTATTTATCTAATAGCTAACGTGATTAGCTCATAAATTTAACCACATGGAGTGATTGACTACAGACTAAGAGATTACAGAGGTCTCTAGGTTAGGGACAAAGTGATGAGAGCCTTTAGATTCACACCAGGTACATGCCTTCTCAGCCTAAAGCGTTCTGAGTGGACCAAGAACTGGCCATTTTCTCAAAAAATAAAATAAAAACTTTTTTAAAAAGTTGTATCTTTTGTGGTTAAATAAGAACTTTTTCTATTTTAGAAAAAAAAAGTTCTGTAAAGGAAGTGTTGATGGACACTTAGCTTAAATGTTGCACTCTTTGATACTGTGCGTGTGTGCACACTTGAGTGTGGTGGCACTCAGCTAGTCACTCAGAGTGCTCATGGATCTCCTGAGACTGTGTGTTTATGTTCATTAGTGAGAAAGTATCCCTGAGCCTCAGTCTCTGCAATGGAAAGATAGTGTCTGTATCTTATGACTTGCTTACATTATGACTGGCTAACATGACTTAGCACAGCAGATTTAGTGTACTGACCCTCACCCCCCATGTGTAAATCCCTTGTGAAGGACAGTATGGGAGTAGACCGGCTTCTGCCAGGACTTTAGACAGGGTTGCTGCTGTCAGGGCACACGTAGACCGATGTTCAAATACTGCTGGCTTAGCTTCTGCTGGGACACGGAGTTTGTGGAAGAACCAGAAAACCAGTTCTGTAGCTGCAGAGTTTCTCTCCGGGTCCCACCAAGCCCCTGCAGTCCCG